ATCTTAAGAGTGGGTACCATCAGATTAGAATCCGTCCAGGAGACGAATAGAAAACGGCGTTCAAAACAAAAGATGGACTTTATGAATGGACTGTTATGCCGTTTTGGTCTGAGCAACGCCCCGAGCACTTTTATGAGGGTCATGATCCAAGTCCTCAGGCGCTTCCTAGGCAAGTTTGTAGTGGTTTACTTTGATGACATTCTAATCTATAGTACTTCGGTGGATCAACATCTTAATCATATAACACAAGTTTGTGAAGTTTTGAGGAAAGAACAGTTGTTCGCTAACCCGGCCAAATGTAAGTTTCTTATCGATAGTGTAACCTTTCTTGGATTCATCATTTCAACTCAAGGAATATCTGCTGACCCAGAAAAGGTGCGAGCTATAAACGAGTGGCCAGAGCCTAAGAATATTCGTGATGTTAGAAGTTTTCATGGATTGGCTACTTTTTATCGGAGGTTTATTCGGAATTTCAGCACCATCGTAGCTCCTATAACGGATTGTCTTAAGAAAGGGGAATTTCATTGGACGACAGCCGCCACCAAAGCTTTTGAGGATATTAAGAAGAAAATGGTAGAAGCTCTTACTATGCGCCTCCCAGATTTTTCTAAAGTTTTTGAGGTAACCTGTGACGCATCAGGAATTGGAATAGGAAGAGTCTTGTCGCAAGAAGGACATCCTGTGCCTGTGGCGTACTTTAGCGAGAAATTAAATGACATTCGTCAGAGGTACTCTACCTATGATAAGGAGTTTTATGCAATCATTCAGTCCCTCAGGTATTGGAGACACTACTTGCTTCCCCAGGAGTTTATAATATTTTTGGATCATGAAGCTTTGAGATACATTAACTCCCAGAAGAAGTTAAATGCCTGTCATGGTCGTTGGGTCGAATTCCTCCAAGAGTATTCTTACACTATTAGACATAAGGCTGGAGCTGAGAATAAAGCAGCGGATGCTTTGAGTCGTAGAATAATGGTCACTAGAGAGATGAGAACGGAGATTGTTGGATTCGAACGCATCAAGGATGACTACAAAGAATGCCCTGATTTCAAAGAGACATATTTTGTACTGACAACTAGAGATAAACAAGTTGTGGATGATTTCTTGTTGGAAAATAGATACTTATTTAAGTCTCAGAAGTTGTGTATTCCCAACACCTCTCTCCGTGAATTCCTTGTGTGGGAACTACACGCGGGAGGCTTAGCTGGACATTTTGGGCAGGCCAAGACCATTGCAGCAGTTGAGTATAGATTTTTCTGGCCCAGCCTTAAGCGAGACGTTAGTAAACTGATCAAACGTTGCCATACCTGCCAACTAGCTAAACAGAGAAAGCAGAACACTGGCCTCTACACCCCACTTCCCGTCCCAAACTGCCCTTGGCAAGACGTTAGTATGGACTTTGTTCTAGGGCTACCCAAAACCGCTAGGAAGCACGACTCTATCTGTGTGGTAGTAGATCGCTTCTCTAAGATGACCCACTTCCTCCCTTATGCTAAAACGTTCGATGCCTCTAGGATTGCCAAACTGTACTTTGATGAGATTGTCCGACTCCATGGACTCCCAAAAACAATTGTGTCGGATCGAGACGTGAAATTTATGAGCTATTTCTGGAAAACTTTATGGATTAAGATGGGTAGTAAGCTGCAGTTCTCCACCACCTTTCATCCACAAATGGATGGCCAAACAGAAGTCGTTAATAGGAGCCTTGGGAACCTTCTTAGGACCTTAGTAGGTGAGAACATTAGAGATTGGGATTCCAAACTACCCATTGCTGAATTTACCTACAATAATTCTGTCAATCGAACCACCGGTATGACCCCAGCTGAGATTGTTTATGGATACCAACCTAAGCAACCCATAGATTTACTCCCCATGAGTCCTAAGCTTAGAGTGTCAGAGTCTACATCCGCATTTGCATCGGATATCCAGGAATTGCATCAAGAAATTAATAAAAGAATTGTACAAAGTAATGAATAATACAAACTTAATGCTGATCTTAAGCGACGCTTCAAGGAGTTCGAAGTTGGAGACTATGTCATGGTTCGGATTCGTCCGGAGCGGTTCCCACCAGGGGCCGTTAAGAAACTACATGCTAATAGTGCAGGTCCCTTTAAAATAACTTCAAAAATAAATAGTAATGCCTATGTTTTGGACCTTCATGAAGATTTCAACTTGAATCCCACATTTAACATTGAGGATCTAGTAGCCTTTGATGGCCCTGAATTTAACCCTGAAAATCCACTAAACCTTGAGCCTTGTGAGTCCATACCTAGTGAGATCCCAAGTCTACCTCCACTTCCCAAAATTCTCACACTACCTAATACGGAGGAGATTGAAACCATCCTCAGTGATGAGATCATTTCCACCAGGGACGGCGGGCGCCAAAGATACTTAGTTCGTTGGAGAGGGAAGCCGGAGACGGAGGATACGTGGCTGGAGCGTGAGGAGATACAGAGACTGGACCCCGACCTTCTGGAGCTGTACGAGAGTTCTCAGGACCCTTGCTCGACAGGGTCGAGCTTTCTCCCACCCGGGGAGAATATGGGGACATCAGATTTCGACACGTGTACCATCGTCAAAGACGTCGATCGACGGCCATGATTCAGAGTCTTTATTTTTGATGTTTTATTTTATTTATGTCATTTATATTTCATGTTTTTCCTTTTGTACCTCTATGAAGGAATTAGTGCTTGTTGTAGCCCAAGGGCAATGTCATCTTTATGTTTTTTTTTATTTCCGGATAGCCTATATAAAGGCTTTGTCATTGTATTTTATGGATATTATTGGATGAATGAAATTTCTACTTCATGTTCTCTTTGTGAGTGCTTAAAGTTCTCTTGGTGAGTTCTTCATTTGAGATCTCTTAGTGAGTTCTCTAGGTAATTGTAATCCTTGTATTTCATTCTTCCACCTCCCTCTTTCCCACCACAAGAAACCCCACCAAGCTCCACCCGAAACCCTAGCCACCTTCCCTCCCCTTAGGCTTCTCACCACTAGCCGGCCACCTAGCCACCACCCGACCTCCGTCCACCCACCTCCTCTCCGCTCATTTCGGATTGAAAATTAAAAATTCAAATTTCAAATTCTTCCCAAATTTGGAAAGTTTGTAAATGAATCCAAATAGAAAATTAAATTAATTTGGATTTCTTTAAAACTTATCCTAGTCATCCTGCCATGGTTGGAAACCTCTCTCCCTCTCTCCCCAATTCCCCCCATCTCTAGCCATGCCGCCGGCCCCACTCTCTTGCTGCCTAATTAATTGTGCACTTAACCCCTTCATGAGATTTGAAATCCAAATTAAGTGCAAAATAATTTCCCTCCAATCTTACTAAAACTGAAAATAATTTCAGTTTTAAACGCCTTCCTCCCCTCTCTTTCTACCGTCGGCTCCCTCCTTAGCCTCACCCTAATTGAATTTCAATTAATGCATTAATTGCATTTAATTGGAAATTGAAATCCTTCAAATTTTCCCTCCCAATTCCCTTAAACTGAAATTAATTTCAGTTTTCACAGAAAACCCTCCCCTCTCACCCTAGATCTACCGCCGGCCTCCCATCCCCTCTCCAACCCGCCGTCCCTCTCTCCCTCTCATTGGAGAGCCTCTTGCGGCGACCACCCATTCTCACCTTCATGTCGCATGGCGGATCCCGAGTTAGAATGGGGGCTTGTGTTCGATGCCCAAGGTAATCTCGACGTCCTCCGATCGCCGTTCTTTGACGCGGGATTTGAATCCGACGAAGACACCGTGGGAGATTACTTTGATCGGATCCTCCCAAGCCTTATCCGAGTCATTGATAGACAACGTCCGGACTATGAGTGGACCATCGACGAACGACTTTCCACGCCTCCTCAACATCCTACGCCTTCCTCTCTTTCTCTACGGATCGCCGGCACCATCGCTCTCGGAGTGGTTTCATCTCTTGTGTGGTTCTTCTTCTCCTGCCAACCTTAGAAGTAGACAAATGAGTGTAGCCTCAAGGTGAGCCAATCGCTTTGTGAACCGCCGGATTCTCGTTGGCTTTTCATTTGCTTTACTATTTATTGTAGTCGTTATTTTATAGATCTTGCTAATTTAGCGGTAATAACTTGCTTAAGCATAGTTGAAATCTAATATCTCTTGGAAGCTTCAATTGTGAGAATCATTAAGATTGTATTGTCATTATTTTAACAAATTTTATTAATTTTCTAAAATCCAATTCCTGGTATCACATCACACGTCAATTTTTTTGCCGATGTCCTCATCATTAGGTGTAGGTCTTGTTGCTCTGAATGTACAATAGCATTTAATGGTGGGTTTTGCAGTTTATGATTTGGACAATGCCTGGTTGTTAGTGACCCCCAAGACTTTTTCATCAAATCAATAAAGGTCAAACTCAGATATTTGAATTACTTTTTGATCAATGGGGTCAAACATTTTTTGCATTATGCTCATTTATTTCAACTAGCTTAATTGCCTTATGCTTAACTCCTTTGGTTCACAAATGAGTTGAACTTATGCTTGCTTTTAAACCGAGCACAAACAGATTGTCAACTCTAGCACTAATAGTATAAACCATAAATTTTAATGAACTTGCAAATTTATTTACATGATTTTTAAAGTCCAACTATTTAAATGATTTCTGCATTGATATCGGCCTTTATATAATCCCATGTTATCCACCGTTCTGTGATATTGAGTTGATCGCTCAATTTCCATTAGTTTTTGAGGTCCTCATAGCATTTTGGTATTTTATTTTTGCACTAGGTTTATTTCACTTGTGTACCTCATGTTTTTGTTTCATTCAAGCATTTGTATTGTGGTTGATATCATTTTATAGTTTTAGTTGAACGAATTGTTTGGTTATGAGTCTGATACTAGTTAGTGTTGAAGATGTAGTGATCATTTTCCCCATTACTTTGAATTTCAACTATGTGATTCACTTAATAGTGTTAAATAATAAAAAGGGTAGGATTAGTGCAGTATATTAATCTTCAATTTATTTCTTTGATTGTCTGAGCAGCAGTAAGATGCGTGAAGAATATAACAGCTCACTCTGGTTCCATTTTATCTGTCAATGCTGGAGAACACTGGCTTGGTATTGGTGCAGCTGATAATTCTATGTCCCTTTTTTATCGACCTCAAGAAAGACTTGGTGGTTTCTCCAACTCGGGGTCAAAAATGCCTGGATGGCAGTTCTATAGAGCACCTCAGAAATCTGTGGCTGTGGTATGTTATACATTTTCATATCCAAATGTTTCATTCGTTGCTTCGCTATTTTTCTTTCTTTATTTCTTAATGATGTAAAGTGCTTTTTTCCCCTTAAAGCTAGTTTGCTATAAAGTAGCTATCTAATTTTGTTTAAATCGCATCTTGCTTTAATTTTTTCGATTAGCCTAATTATTATGTTCTACTTTTAATTGATATGATGCACTATAAACTTTGATACCAATCTAATATGGGACGTCTTGGAAGTAGGATTAATTAATACAAATTTAGGATTAGCTGCACAAAGAAACCGATGAATGATTATGATTCATTGTTACCCAACTTTCAGTCAAGTATTTGTCATTTTTATAAGAAATTAGAAAACCCATTTAATTCCTTTCAAATGATGATTTAAAATTCATCAAAATCTGAGAAGTACAGGAAATTCGAGAATATATTTAACATTTCACAACAAATAAAATTCGCACCATAAAAAGAAAAATTGGCACTTGTTAAACTTGACAATATCTCAATATTATGACTCAAACCAAACCCTAAATAATTAAGAAAAAAAACATTGATATAAATCACCAAATGGAAGATCCAAATCTCACACTTATAAGCAAAAACACCATCTAGAAGAATTCAATACAAAACAACAACATCAAGCCTGTATCCCAATATGTGGGGTCAGCTACATGAATCTTTTTTTCCAATGTGTCTTGTTAAAAGTCAAATTCTCATTTAAATCTAATAAAGAAAGGTCATTTCTAATATTTTCTAACCAATTCTTTTTAGGTCAACCTCTTTCTTTCTTAACATAGGTCAAATCTAATACATCTACTCATCTAACAGGGTCTTATTATTTTACATGGACAAACCATCTAAGGCAACTCTCCCTAATCTTATTTGTCATAGGAACAACTCCAACCTTTTCACGGATATGCTCGTTTCATATCTTGTCTCTAAGAGTAAATCCACTCATCCACCTGAGCATCCTCATCTCAACAAAACTTAATGTTATGCTTCTATTTTAATGGCCAACATTGTGCTCCATAAAGCATTGCAAGTCTCACCACTATCTTATAAAAATTTTCCTTAAATTTGAGTGGTACTTTTCTATCACACAACAAATCCAAAGCATTACTCCACTTCAACCATCCAACTTGAATTCTACTAATAATATCCCCATCTATTTTACCATCACTATGAACAATAGATCCGAGATATCTAAAATTGTCACACTTATTAATGACTTTATCACTCAAAGTCACAAACCCTCCACTAAATCTATTACTACTAAAATTACACTCAATGTATTTGTTTTTATATTTACTCAAACGAAAACCTTTATACTCTAAGGTTGACCTCCATAATTTGAATTTACATTCAACTTCCTTTTTAGCCTTATCAACAAGAAGAATATCATCAACAAATAGCATATACCAAGGTACATCCTCTTGCAAATGTCTAGTGAGAACATCCATGACTAAAGCAAAAAAGATAAAGGCTTAAGGCTGATCATTGATGAAATCCTACTGAAATAGGAAAATGCTTGGTCAAACCATCTTGTGTTTGAACACAAGTAACCCCTTTCTTTTCTACTTGCATACATATCCCTAATGAGTTGAATATAAGCATTATTAACCATTTTCTTTTCTAGCACTTCTCTTAGAATTTTATCATATGCTTTCTCTAAATCAATAAATATCATATAGATCATCCTTATTCTCTCTAAACTTCTCCATCAACCCTCTTAATAAATGAATAGCTTCCATAGTAGGCCTACCCGGTATGAATCCAAATTAATTTTGAGAAACATTAGTATCAAGTTGTAAAATATGCTTCATAACTCTCTTCCAAAGTTTTAAAGTATGATACATCAACTTAATTCCTCTATAATGTGCACAACCTTGTGCATCACTTTTATTCTTAAAAATAAGAATCAACATACTCAATTTCCACTCATATGGTCTTGTTAGTCTTCAAAATAATGTTAAAGAGTTTAGCAAGCCAAGAAATTTCTTCATCTCCTAAGCATTTCCATACCTCTATTGGAATATTATCAGGTTCACTAGTTTTTTCACACTTTATTTTCTTTAAAGCTTCTCTAACTTCAGTTTTATTAATACGACAATAAAAATAAAAGTTTCTATTTTCATTTCGAGTGCTAAGGTCACTAAAGTCAATCGTATTCTCACAATCTTCATCGAAAAGCTTATCAAAATATCCCATCCACCTTTTGTTGAATATCCTCTTCTAAAAAAAGCACTTTTTGATCTTCATCCTTAATGCACTTCACTTGAACTAAATCCTTACTACTATGTCTTTCTTTTGCTAACTTATACATATATCTTTCACCCTCTTTAGAATCTAATCTATTATATAAATCATTAAAAGCTAAAATCTTTGTATCGCATATTACTTTCTTAGACACCTTACAAGCCGCTTTATCTTTCTCAAATTTCAGAGTTTTTACACTAAATTAATTATTATAACAAAGCTTTTTTTTTAATCTTTTCTTGCACATTTTGATTTCACCACCAACTATTTTTATTAGTATGAGCTTTTCCTTTTGAAACTCCAAGCACATCCATTGCAACATTCTTAATATTACTAACTCCACAAAACATTCATTTTCTAGAAGAATTCGCTATTACAAAATTATGATGGAGCACTAAGAAACGCAGAAAAAGCTATTATTCGCATATCACCAACTTTCAACTTAAGATTTATTATTTCCTTATATAAAACCAGAAAATATGTTTTATTCATTCCAAATGACAATTTAAAAGTCAAAGTCTAAAATTGTAAAAGGTCTAAAATTTACAGCGAATGAAATTCACCTCACCCACGTATCAAACATTGCAAAATCTTTATATCTTACACTCATCAATAACTAAATAATTAAGAAGAAAAAACAAGGATAGAAATAATCAATTGGAAGATCTAAGTCTCATGCTATAGTATAAAGGAGAAACATCTCTCAATAGTTATTGTCTAGACTTGGGAAGCGCTTGAAGAATCCACATCTAATAGCATACAAAAATTAGTAAGAAATCTAAAATTCCTTGCGTCATTTAATGTTGAATTGCATGCTCAACGGTACTATTTATAAATCATAATAGCTTCATGATATAACCAACTCCCTATAATCCTTTACGATTAGTTTAATATTGTGATACGTTTTAGAAGTACAAACAACGAAATAAACAAGTAAAAGCTGTACGAATACGAAGATAGGGGCTAATTTTTTATTATATCTTCAGTAAAAAAGAAAGATGATCTACTATTCGAGAAGTAGATCAAGTAGATCAGCTCTTCCACAAATCCTAGATGTCACTAGGAATAACTCCTAAGAAAACTCCAGCAAACATAAATCACATAATAAAAATAAAGCCACCTAATTACACCTAAATAAACCATCATATTTTCCTCTCAATTTTGAATTCAAATCAGTCCTCTTTTGTCTTAATAAAACTTTTCTAATTCCCTCCCAAATTTGAATTCAAAATAACCTCTTTCCCTAAATAAAACCTTCCTAATTTCCTCCCCAATCTGAATTCAAATCAGCCCTCTTTCCTTAATAAATATTTTCTAATTTTCTCTTCAATCTAAATTCATATCAATCATCTTTCCCTAAATAAACTCTCCTAATTATTGCTCTCATGACTTCTCCTCCATACATAGTGAATATTGACTCTCTTGGGCCCCATAAGGTGGGCGCCTTTAACATATCAATATTCCCCCGCCCTCACCAAAAAAAAAAAAAAAAAAACTGTCCTCAAGGTGGAAGGATGAGAACAATCTCTTGATCATCTCATATGGCTCCCATGTGGCTTTGTACTCTGGTAAATCCTTCCACTTGATAAGCATCTCTGGAGCAATAAACCCAACATGCTGCGTACGAATTGATATGCTTATTGTACAGAAGAACATGTGATCCTCTTCACATAGACCACAAAGATCATTTCCTTCTATCTGTTTGTCAAATCTTACACTAATTTTGGATGATCCATTTTTGTCTCAGAATTACTTTACGTCTTTACCATGAAAGCTATAACGTGGACCTTTCTGAGCTGGAAAAGGTAGTCCAGAAGAATGCATCATACCTACATATTTTACTCTATCACCTTTTTTTAATTTTCATTTCTTCGAAAATGCTGTTGAAGACTCTTGCTTTGACAAGGAATGGCAATTTAAACTATATGCTCCCATAATATCAGCTTCCACATTGGAAACTGGTGTTCTAATATTAAAAGTGTCAACTAATGTAGATTTCTGCTTAGTAAATTCTCCTAACTTTTCTTTATCAAGAAAATTTTGGTCCGTTTTGTATGCAGCGACTATGCAAAGATTCTTCAAATCACTTTCAGAATAACTTTCTATTACATTAGATAACTCGCCGAATCTAAAGTTAGGGTCAAGGTTTTCTTGGGACATAAATATCCTTGAGATTTTGTGTTGTGTCAAGCATCCAGATGGTCCACATATATCCTTTTTGGAAGACGACGTATCACAACATTGTCCAAATCAAATGATCTATTTGTTGCACCTAGGATAAGAATCCTTTGACTGTCCTTGGTCCTTAAACCATCTTAAGCAGCCATAAAATGATTTTGTATTCTTCTTGTTGCTTCATCTTCTAAGGCACCACCACATGCAACAAGTAAGCTATTGACCTCATTTACGAAAATAATGACAAGCGCTAGCCGAGATGCAAAAGAAAAGATAATCGTGGTGAGCTTCTCTGCCTCGCCAAACCACTTTGATGTAAGAGTATATCCGGTTATATTGATAAAATTTTCTCGAGCTTTAGTTGCAAGGGCTTTTTCAAGAAGAGTTTTACCTATTCCTGGTGGACCAAAGTGCAAAATTCCTTGTGAAAAAATGTTAGGCCTTCTCATAGGAAGCATGACAAGTTCATTTAAAGTTCTCTTCACATATTCTTGAGCACCGATATCATCAAACTTGACCCCTATTTCATTTGAGGACGCAACTGTTGAAACAAAATTGCTTTC